TGATGACTCTGCCACACATGACTCTGCCAATGCACCCAAGTCTACTCCTCAAGCCACTTCTCCTCATGTGATGACTGATCGTGAGCTTCTGCTTAGTCTTCACCAGAAGGTGGATCGAAATCATAAATGGGTTAAGCGTCAGTTTGGTTCATTTCTTCACAACATGACTACTACACACAATGCAGTGAAGAAAAACCATTACTACCTCCATGAAGTGTTCGGTCGCACCTGGGCCATTCTGTCACATCTGTATGGTGAAGACAATCTGAAGAAAATGGGTCTCAAGGAAGATTTTGACTGGTCTGCACCTCCACCGAAGAAATTCAAGAAGGTCAAGGTTCCTTCCTTAGTGGCCAGCTCATATTCTTCATCGCGCGACACTGATGAAAATGAAGACTTGGACGACACTGTGGCAGGCCCTACTACGACAAACGACCCCAACAACGCTGGCGCTCCTTCATCAACTTGATATTCTTCAGGGGCGTTAGTCCTCATATTCGATCCTTTTGGTCATTTGATGACAAAGGGGGAGAATTTTGAGTTAGTCTTCAAGCGGGTCTTTCTATATGGGCATTTTTTTCAAGTTACAACTCTCGTTCTTCTGAGACTTTATTGGATCGAGTTGTAAACTTAAACCCGATGGTGCTCTGATACTCTTGAGACGTTTTTCTGCATGCTTATTCCTCGTTAATATTATTGCACGCATGCTGAATTACATCAGTCACCATATTTCATCATGCATTTCAAATTCTTCACTGTTATATGTCAAATGCGTGTATGAATTACAAGATATACGGGGAGATCTCCATGATTCAACTCTTCAAGTGTGCATTGCTTCAAAAGCAAATTCCTCACTATGCACATCTTCAGGGGGAGTTCTTCTATATCTTGCAATCAAATTCCTCAATATCAGTATTTACATTTCATACGTTTATCCCCGTTGAAAACTTAACCTATATTGTCATCAATCACCAAAAAGGGGAAGATTGTAAGTGCATCTAGTGCCCCTTAGTGATTTTGGTGTATTGAAGACTTATAGGTTAAGGGACTAATGCATTTGTGAGTGTACACAGGTCTATAAGTCAATGAGGAGTTTGATCTTTACAGAGAAAGTCAACCCCTAAAAATGAAGTTCTTCGACTGAAGACTTTAAATCTCTGAAGACTTTCTGAAGACTTTGAAAGTGAAGAAATTGGTGTGACCTTGAAGACTTGGTATTCATTCGAGGAACATGAAGCGTGAAGACTTTTGTTTTCATAGTTTCATTTTCTCTTTCTTGAGTCATAGGAAACACCATACTGTTAAAGGGGGTCGAGGAAATACTAAGGAAAAATTTCCATGTGACGCTCAACTCAAAATCCTACACCTACCAATCCCTTCGAGTGAAGCCATTGGAAATCTCATACAGTCCAGTCATATTCTTCAGCGACAAAGACGAAGTTCTTCTGGTCTCTGAGGAATTTGTTTTGACTAAGGAGTTAGGAATTCACCAGTGCGGATTTCCTACACAGTGAGGAACATGATAGCCCTGAGGATTTTTCTACTCAAAATTCCGACCGTTGCTTTGCTATGCACCAGCTGTCCCAAAATATCTATCCATCTAACGGTCATATCATTGAAGGGCATTTATGTATTATCATGTCGGGCGGCTCCCTAGGCTATAAATAGCCACCCCCTACAACCACTAGCTGGTTGGCTACTCCGAGAGAAACTGACACTTGTCATTTGAGAGCAACCCATCCTCCGAGGACTTTGAGCAAAAATCATCAAGTGAGGAAAAACCCAAACCCAAACACCTACAAACCCCAAGTGATTGAGCATCACCAAAGAGATTGATCCTGCATGGATCCGATGCTTGTTACCTTTGAAGACTGTGCTTCTTCCAGACAGTTAGGCGTCATGGTCTAGAGCACCCAAGAGGAATTGTGCATCGCCGAGTGACCAAGTTTGTGTAGGTTCGGAAGTCACCTGAAGACTTACCACGAGTGATTGGACGAGGTCTGTGTGACCTTAGTTCAAGGAGAATACGGTGAGGACTGGGTGTCCTGAGGTGCATGTTCAGGACTGGGTGTCTGGGACTGTGTGTCCTCGAGTTTAAATACTCAGCCGCTCCAACCAGACGTACAACTGAGACAGCAGTTGGAACTGGTCTACCAAATCATTATATTCACCAAGCTTACTAGTTCTATTCCCTCAACTCGTTCATTTCCTCATAACTGTGTTGTGTGTTTGTTCATATCTGTGTTTGAAGACTTTGACTGAAGACTTTCTCAATTTCCTCAGTTCAATTTGTTCATTCTGTTTGTCTTCATCCTGTGTTATCCTGTGCTTACGCTTCATGTACTCTGTGCCTGTCTTCATTTCATCATGATGACTATGCTTGTATTCTGTTATGTTTACTTTTGAGTACTTATTCCGCTGCTAGTAGTTCTTCATAAAGGAATTTCCTCACCGACAAATTCCTCAATGAAGAATTTCATAAAAATCGCCTATTCACCCCCTCTAGTCGATATAACGCACTTTCACGTAGCATATCCGGCTCGATGGAGAGATTAGTGTGCCGCACGAGGCGCCATAGCTCGACATACTGCACCATGGCCGCCAGCCCAAGCGCGCCTCGAATGTCCTGCACCCAAGAGCGCTGGTGCAGGCCATCACGCACGCAATGCTCCTTCTGGAGACGCCTTGGGACGAGAGCGAGAATGAGTGGGGCGATCTCGGCCACGGACCTGCCATCGATCTAGTGGTCGGTCCATGTAACACCCACGATGCGGCTATATCTCCCACGTGTCGGGGCATGACTTAGAGGCATAGCCGCATGGTAGGTTTGTCGCAAGAGGCGTAATCTTCACACAATCCCATGTACTGAATAAGAAAGGGATAAAGAGTTGGCTTACAATCGCCACTTCACACAAATAACATAGTCAAACATACATCATTCGGAAAACAAACAAGGTCCGACTACGGAACCAAAACAAAAGAAGACAACCCCAAATGCTAGATCCCCGATCGTCCCAACTGGGCTCCATTACTGATCAACCGGAAAAGACACAAAACAATGATCAAGATCTTCATTGAGCTCCCGCTTGAGCTCGGTTGCGTCACCTGCACTGGTATCATCGGCACCTGCAACTGTTTGGAAGTATCTGTGAGTCACGAGGACTCAGCAATCTCACACCCGCGAGATCAAGACTATTTAAGCTTATGGGTAGGGTAAGGTAATGAGGTGGAGCTGCAGCAAGCACTAAGCATATATGGCGGCTAACATACGCAAATGAGAGTGAGAAGAGAATCAATGCAATGGTCGAGAAGCTAGAAGTGATCAAGAAGTGATCCAGAAACTACTTATGCACAACCATAACACAAGAACCATGTTCACTTCCCGGACTCCGCCAAAAAGAGACCATCACGGCTACACACGTGGTTGATTCATTTTAATTAAGTTAAGTGTCAAGTTCTCTACAACCAGATATTAACAAATTCCCATCTGCCACATAACCGCGGGCACGGCTCTCGAAAGTTTATACCCTGCAGGGGTGTCCCAACTTAGCCCATCACAAGCTCTCACGGTCAACGAAGGATATTCCTTCTCCCGAAAAGACCCGATCAGTCTCGGAATCCCGGTTACAAGACATTTCAACAATGGCAAAACAAGACCAGCAAGACCACCCGCTATGTCGACAAATCCCGATAGGAGCTGCACATATCTCGTTATCAGGGAACACCAGATAAGCTAAGCGTACAGGTACCAACATAACCCAAGTTGCCAAGGGACGGTCCCGCACGGTGCTCTAGTTTGGACCAACACTCAAAGGAGCACTAGCCTGGGGGTTTAAAATAAAGAGACCCTTGCGTCTGCAGAACCCAAGGGAAAAAGGCTTAGGTGGCAAATGTTAAAACTAAGGTTGGGCCTTGCTGGAGGAGTTTTATTCAAAGCGAACTGTCAAGGGGTTCCCATAACACCCAACCGCGTAAGGAACGCAAAATCAAGGAACATAACACCGGTATGATGGAAACTAAGGCGGTAAGAGTGGAACAAAACACCAGGCATGAGGCCGAGCCTTCCACCCTTTACCAAGTATATAGATGCATTAATTAAAATAAGAGATATTGTGATATCCCAACATATCCATGTTCCAACAAGGAACAAACTTCAACTTCACCTGCAACTAGCAACGCTATAAGAGGGGCTAAGTAAAAGCAGTAACATAGCCAAACAACAGTTTGCTAGGAAAGGTGGGTTAGAGGGTTGACATGGCAATATGGGAGGCATGATAAGCAAGTGGTTGACATAGCGATAGAATGGACAACTAGCAAAGCATAGATATAAGTGATTTCGAGGGTATGGTCATCTTGCCTGAAATGCCGCAAGGAAGAAGAACGAGTCCAAGAAGAAGACAAACGGCCGGAGTCGAACGGATCCTCACAACTCTGGAATGAAACCGAAGCTAACGAGAGAAGCAACCCGGAAAGAAGCAAGCAACATAGTAAACAACCATCACATAAACATGGCATGATGCACAACCAAGGATGATGGATGTCCGGTTTAAATATGCATGGCATGGCAAAGTGCAACAAGCAACACTACAAATTAAGTGGAGCTCAATATGCAACGAGTTGCATATTGATGAAACACCACCTTCATTTATTTAGTTCTCTCCCGTTTATGTACCCAACTATATTAATTGTTGTTAAGCATGGCAAGAGGTGAAACGTGAGTAAAATACACAGTTAGGCATTTTAAATTAGGCCGTAAACATCAAACAACAATTCCGGTAAATCCTCATGTGCATTAGCAATTTAATGCAACAACAATTCTGAACATTTTAAATGTTGTTAACATGATGCGGATGATATATGCAAGTCTTAAGCAATTTTTATGAAAACGTTGATAAGAGCATTATGAAGCATTGGTCACCGTGGTGGAAAGAAAGGGTGCCACAGAGACGATAACGAAAACGGTGCCACAACAATGCTTCGGTTCCGGTAACTCGATTGAGATGCCGGTGGAAAATAACAAGTGTGCGGAACATGCAAGAGTGACGGGGAGTGATCCCGGTTACCGGGTTCCCATGAGACGATGGCATGGCAATGGGGAACATGCAAGAAAAACGTTGGGCATGGTGCAAACGCGAGCATTTCATACAACACATCACATGCATTCGTTCATGGACGGTCATCTCGAGGTTACACCTTCGAGGTGTGCGTTTTCAAAGTGTATCGAGTTCGTCGAGGGAAGTAGTCATACACGGGTCTTCGCTTTATAGTCCGACTTGGCAAATCCAAAACGGTTGTCGGTGGTGGAACTTGGCGCTGTATTGGGAAGTAGTTGTACTCGCGGTCTTCGGCGACGGTAGTCGTACATGGTTCGTAGACGTTCGTGTCTTCCGTAGAGGTACTTGCACATGCGTTACATGGGTCTTCGACAATGGTACTGGTACACGTTGTAGTCGTTGTAGTCGAACTTGACGGGACATGGGTGTCGTGGTACTCGTCGCGTTCCGGAACCAAAGTGGTACTAGGCAATATCCGGGACGGTCTTCGCGTTTCGGCGCGGTGTAGTGGTACATGTTAACGATCATTGTGGTACTGGGTGGTCCGGGTCTTGGCGGATCCAGGTTCTCTCAACGTAGTTGTATAGTGCGGTGGCTTGGTGCGACACTGATCCAGTCAACGCAGCGATTCTCCTCCCGTTCTATGTACAGGACGTCGTACATGGAGGTTGAGGCCGCGATGTCGGCCGACGAACTGAAGGAGGCGACACCTCGGCTCCTGCAGCAAAACGACGGCGAGGCAGAGAAGGGGACGGCAGGCAGCGGAGGTCACGGGGAACGCAGGGGCCGCAGGCGAGCTCGCTCGGGGAGCTCCTCGGGCGCATCTGGTCAGGGTCGAAGCTGACGTGACAAGGGGCGTCGAGCTTCGCAGGTGGATCTAAGGTCGCGATGCAGCGACGGTCATCTGAAGCAGGGACGTGGGGCCCTGCCGGCGGGACCCGGCCGGGAACAGGCAGGGCGGCGGAGGAGCTTGGGCGCCGGACAGGAGGCCGGGCCACGAGGCCATGAGAGGCACAACGAGAAGGGCTCGGCCCCTGGCGTGTGCGGGATGGGAAGGAGCGGTGCGGGGATGGCAGGGGCGCTGTCGCGGGGCTCGGCCATGGCGTCCCTGACCTCCGGATCACAACGGGGCAGCGAGGAGGGGTTTCTCCAGCGAGCGGCGGGATAGAGCGGACGGCTGGCGGTGGAGGAGAAGGACGGCGACGCTGGTGGGAGAAGGAGGCGGGGCACGGGGCTCGCGCGTGCTGGGGTACGCCTCTCCCTGGCGATGCGTGTGGGAGCGAGGGGATAGGGCGCGAGGCGTGTGTGGCGGCGGAGGGAGGATGAGGGAACAAGCGGTCGAGGGGAGAGGGATGAGGGGATCGAGCAGCTAGGGTTAGGATGCGGCTGGGCTGCGGGAATGGATGGCCTGGCTGGGAGATGTTGGGCCTAGGGAGGCCAGCTGCTGGGCCTTGGGCCACTTTGGCTGCGGGGGGAGGATGGGCCGGCCTGGCTGACTGCTCTCTCTCCCTCTCACTTATAAACTTTAGCAGAAAAGAATTAGCGGAAAGAAAAAAAGAAAGAGAAAGCTAGGGAAAAAATAATTTGAGCACGGGGTTTATTTTCTTGGACTCACAAAAGAATGTGTGATCCAAGAAATTAGGAATGGCCATGATTGAAAGATTAAATTCAAATTCCTTTGAATTTAATTCAAAAGGTTTAAACTAGGGTTTGGTAAAAGGAAGGTCCAAAAAAATGTTGAGATTATTGATGGAGCTCCGGAAAAAGATGATAGAATTTATGGCAAGGTTGGAGACCAAGAATTAAGATAACAAAGGCATTGGGATAATTTGCAAGTGTGTTATGGTGAATTCCAAATTAAAGAAATATTTAATATAGCTCCCTAATATCGAGAGGATATGTTATAAAGAGAAGTCACCCTTCCCTCGATTTAAATGGAACGAAGATCCATACGATTTATTTAGTTAAGTTGCAAAGATTAATGCCATGATGGCATGATGCAATGCCCATGATGCAATGCAAAATATGCAATGATGAATGCAACAAGCAAAACAAAACACACGACGAAACTTGGAAAACATGGAAGGCCTCTGGAGCTCCGGTCTTGGGGCGTCACAACACTCCACCACTACAAGAGGATCTCGTCCCGAGATCTAAGGATGGCACCGAAGAGAAACGGAAGAGGAAGAGAAGAGGTAAAACTAAGTTGCTTCTTTGACAAACGAGTGAAACTAACAAACCTTGAGAGGTTTAAAACTTGAAAGAAGAACACAACTGTAACACCCCGGATACAACTTTCCATATTTGTAACTCCGACTCTTGCCTTTTCCGGAGATGCGATATGAGTTTTTCCTCATGGTTGGGTTTTTGTCTTCGTTTTGCATTTTGTCCATGTCATGCATTTCATATCATGTCATCATGTGCATCACATGTTGCATACGTGTTCGTCTCATGCATTCGAGCATTTTCCCCGTTGTCCGTTTCTCAATCCGACACTCCTACGTCCTCTGGCGTCCCCTTTTGTCTCTTGTTCGTGAGCGGGTGTTAAACATTCTCGGAATGGACCGAGATTTGACAAGCGGCCTTGGTACACCACCAGTAGACCGTCTGTCAAGTTTCGTGCCATTTGGAGTCCGTTTGATACTCCAACGGTTAACCGGGGAACCGTAAAGGCCTCGTGTGTGTTGCAGCCCAACACCCCTCTAAAGTGGCCCAATAATCCATCCAAACCCCTCCATCCTCTCGGCCGTTCGATCACAATCGCGTGGCCGAAAACCGCACCTCATTTGGACATTCCCACCTCCTTCTACCTGTATATATGTGCTCCCCTCCGAAAATTCACGTAGATGAAACCCTAGCAAACTCCCTCTTCGCGCCGCCGGACAAAAACCCCGCCGCCGGACATGTCCGCCGCGCCGGGCCACCTCACTCCGGCCAATCCGAGCATGCCACCTAAGCACCGCCGCCTCACTCCTCCACTCACGCGCCGCCACATGTCGCCACTGCCCTCCTCCACCCTGTGGCCCGCCAAGCGGATCCGGGACCCGCACGGGCCTGAATATCCGCCGCCGAGGCCTGCGAGCGCCCGCGCGCGCTGCCGCTCCGCCCGAGCACCCCGCCGCTGTTGCGCCCTACCGCCGTCACCCTCGCGCACCACCGCCGTCGTCCAAGCTCGCCCGCGGCCGCCCGAGCCACCCATGGTCGCCCGACCTGCCCGCCGTCGTTCACCGCTCGCAGCCTCGCCCGCCTCCGCGCCCGCTCTGCCCCATTGCCGCCGCCGAACCGCTTCACCGGTCGCTGCCCCTTCGTCTCCGCCGCCGAAGCTCACCGTCCTCCTCGCTGGCGCCTGGATCCGGTGACCCCGACGTCTCCGGCGAGTCCCTGCGTCTCTCCTTCTTCTCCCTCATCAACTCCGGCCACCTCCTCCCCAAGATCCGGCGAACCTCGTAATCCGTGCCGAGTCAACCCTAGATCCGGAGGGTGAGATTTTCCTCCAAGTCATTTTCTGGCATATTTTGAAGCCCTGTTCAACATGCCATAACTCCTCATCCGTAGATCCGTTTTGCATGCATGATATATCAAATTGTTCATCATGATGTGCTCTTCATTTGGTTCCATTGTGCCATGCTTGTTTGGGTCCATCTTGATGCCCAAATCGTTGATGCAAGAGTGCTATAAAATGTTAGGTGCTAATTCTTAGCAGAGTATGAGCATTTGTCATTTTTGCTACATTTGTTGTGTGCTACATATGGACTTGGCTCTACATGTATTTTGGTCTATGCTATGCCATCTTTACAGGGGTGTATGCCATGTATTTTTGTGATCTTTGTGGTGACTAGCACAAGCATGCAAAGTAGCACTCGTGATATTGCTGATTTCAGAGACTTAGAATTTTACTAAGTCATTGCTCTGCTGTTATTTTTATGCCATGTATTCATGTTGCTACAGTGAGATCCATGCTTTGTTTGAGTATCTTCAGTAAGGATGATTTTGACATATGGTTGTGCTCTATCCATCCATGTCTCTGTTTGCAATTATGGAGTGCCCTAGCATGATGTAATCTTGCTCTACTTTTGCTATAAAATGTTCCTGGCAGATTGTTTACATGTTAATCAATTTTTCCATGGTTGTTGTAGTTGATCCATGCATGATACGAACTTGTTCTTTCCTTGGTTAGCTTCTTGAACATGCCATCTTGCTAATTATATGCTTATCTTGTCATGCAATGCCTTGTGTTGAGTGAATCGAGCTCGCAAACATGCCTTCATAATTCTGTTTTTTCCATGCCCAGTTTTCTGCCAAGTCTGAATCTGTTAACGGAACTTGCTATCTTTACATGGGTGCCATCTTATCTTCTGATCATTTTTGGCTTATGGTCAGTAAGGGGCTTGTGTTCTATGATTTGAGTAGATTCATGCCATGCCTTATTTTGCTATGATATTTTCTTGTAGCATGTTGTTTGCTTGCTCTAATTACTGCTTCCTGATGTTAATTCCTGGCATGTTAGTATTTTCACTAAGTCTGTGATGCTGATATCTTTTGCACTTTTGCCATGCTTGTTTGAACCTGCTATAGTGTGATTTAGCCGTAGCTCAGTGTTCATCTTTTGTCAAGCATCTTGAGTAGATCACTGCGATGTGCTTTGTTGCTATGTTGGAGTGCAGTAGCTTAGTTTCTTGTTGCATTCTAGATGGCATCGTGTTGTTAATCACAGAATTGTGCCATTCTTGTTTTGCTTGCCATTTGCAAACCATGCATCCGATTCTGCTGATCTTTATATCGATTTCGACCGAAATAAACTCATCTTTCCAGCGGCACACTTGGTTTGCCAAGTTGATGCCTTGATCATCCTTTTTCCTTCCGGAACACGCATATGCATTGCATATCACATCCCGCATGTCATGTCATGTTTTGCATCATGTTGATTGTGCATTGCACCGTGATTGATTGTTGGTCCTTTGCTTGTGTTCTTGCTTTGGGTAGAGCCGGGAGACGAGTGCGTGATCAAGGAACCCATTGAGTACGCTTACGAGGATCAAGCTTTCGTCAACTCGGAGAACTTGGCAGGCAAGATGACCATACCCTCAAAATCACTTCTATCTTTGCTTGCTAGTTGTTCGCTCTATTGCTATGCCGCGATACCTACCACTTGCTATATCACGCCTCCCATATTGCCATGTCAAGCCTCTAACCCACCTTTTCCTAGCAAACTGTTTTTTGGCTACGTTACCGCTTTGCTCAGCGTCTCTTATAACGTTGCTAGTTGCAGGTGAATATGAAGTTTGTTCCATGTTGGAACATGGATATTGTTGGGATATCATTATTATCTCTTATTTACTTTAATGCATCTATATACTTGGTAAAGGGTGGAAGGCTCGGCCTTATGCCTGGTGTTTTGTTCCACTCTTGCCGCCCTAGTTTCCATCACACCGGCGTTATGTTCCTTGATTTTGCGTTCCTTACGTAGTTGGGTCTTATGGGAACCCCTTGACAGTTCGCCTTGAATAAAACTCCTTCAGCAAGGCCCAACCTTGGTTTTACCATTTGCCACCTAAGCCTTTTTCCCTTGGGTTCTGTAGACTCGAGGGTCATCTTTATTTTAACCCCCCCAGGTGTAATGACCCGGATTTGGTAAAATCCAAGTCTTTGTGCTTACTGCGCTATCCCTGGATCATAGCTAGCACGCACAGTAACAAAAATGAATATCAGTAAGACATACATCATTCTACTACAATGGTAGATCCATATATATATATATATAAATAAATATATATATATAAATCATACCCTAGGCACAGCTCAAGCTGGTAGATAATACAGCGGAATTATACGTAGTCGTTAAGTTAGGCTCCATCAACGCCACTGGGCTCGTTGAGTGTAGACCATAACCCTATCGTCTCTTAATCTGTCAAGATCTGCACATGACAGGGCCCATAGTACTAAGCTAAGCCAGGGCCCATAGTAGCATGTGCATGTACTGGAAGCTACATCAAACTGTACTTGGAAGA